AGGAATGGGGACACTGGGGCTGCACTGGGATGGTGCTGAGCACCCGCCAGGCCTGGGGCAGCACTGGGCGCCGTGGCTGGGACTGGAGCCGTGCTCTGCTGCAGGGCACAGCCCCCGCAAAGACATGAAAGAAGGAATTCCTGGAATAAGAAAGTTAATCTCCCACAGGGCCAATCCCAAAAGGCGGCGCTTGGCATCCTCGCCTGTGCCAGGAGCGCAGCCAAACTGCGATCCCAGATGTTGGCAGCTGGACGGGGTGTCATGAGACTCAGCTCCTGGGGCCACTTTGTTTTTTAAGAAGCTGCTGGTCACTCCAGTTTGGGGCCCGTTAATGCTTTGCAGAACAGGGACACGCGGGGCAGCTGGGTCCTGCCTGTGCTCAGAGCCCCTCCAGGGCTGCAAGAGGAAAGCATCCAGGGCCCTTTCCTAACTGAGCTTATCCCAGGATTAAGCTTCTATTAATCAGCACTGCAGCCAGCAATGGGAAAAACCTTCCCAAATCAAGCGGGAGGTGGTCATGGTGCAGCATGGGTGGAAGCACCCAGTGGCTCATAGCACCAGGGGTGGAGGCTGCTGGGTTGATGCCCAGCACCAGCCCTTCCCATGGGCAGGCAGCAGGGTCAGAGCCACAGCTTCCTGCCTTCCACATTCCCATGGGATTCCAGCCCTGGTCTCCCATCAGCTCTCACGGGATCCCAGCCCTGGCCTCCCATCAGCTACCCCGCAGCGCAGGGCTCCTGGACCAGCTCCCAGCAGCCTGGTTAAAGTTCACAGCAAAGCCTGGATCGAAGCTTTCTCCTTCAATTCGTGTTATTTGCTTTTTGTTTAATCTTTTTTTTCTTTTCCAGGAAATGGCTCATGCCCTTGAAATTTGAAACACAAACCCAAAGTCTCCAGGACCCGGCACAGAGCGATGCCAGCCCCAGTGGCACCAACCACTGGGCCATGGCGCAACGTGGGCACTGGCAGCAGAGCTCCTTCCCTCCCTGGCCTCCCCCTGTACCTCTTTGGGGAGACACACAAGGAAGAGCCAGGTGGGAGCTTTAGCACTGGTGGGGACCACCAAGCCGAAGTCCTGGAACATCCATGCGCTGCTCCTGCACTATGGAAAGGCACTGGGAAGCACTGCCTGGAGGAAGACCTCTGCCAGCCCTGACATGGACCAACCCTCCTCCTCCCCCTGCCAGCCACTTGCAGAGCATCAAATCTCTCAGCTTAAATAAAACCAGATGCCAGTAACATTCTCCTAAGGTCAGTGCCTTTGGGCAGGAAGGAGCCTCTTGGTCCTGCACTCGGCTCTGGGGACAGAACTCTGCCCGCAGTCCCTGACTTGCACAGAGAGCCAGGATCCCTCCAGAATCCCTCCAGGATAGCTGCAGTCCTTGGGGTGATTTTCCCACCCACTAAGAGGCACGCTGCCTCAAGCCTCCCTTGGAAGTCCTCCTGCACCAGCTGGATGAGGGTACTCCTCACACAAGAACATGATAAAAGCACGATCCCACATGGGATGGGAATGGGTGCTGTGGGTGCTGGCCGCCCTGTCATGGCAGGAGGGTTTCTGCCCAGCCTTCTGCTTGAGCTGTGGACAGAAGACACAAACAGGTCATTCAGCACCAACTTCAATTAACAGGAGCTGCAGATGAGGTTGGTCACATGCAGAACTTGTGATTCTGAGGGAGCCATGAATGGCTCAGGCTCCACCGCATGGCTCCCATGGGAGGAGAGCACGGGGCAGTGAGTCCCAGGACCATGTGTGTGTCCGTGGGAGAGGGACAGTGTCATGGCCCCACAGCTCCAGCCCTGCTCCCCCTACTCCACCAGCCCAGGGGCAAAGGACCAGAGCAAGCCAGAGGGGACGCATCCACGTGTCCATGGCCAACATGGCACATGAGCCACAGGATCCTGGCACCCTCCACTTCCCCCTCTGGCAGGGCTGGTGTGGCCAGTGGGTGGTCCTAGCAGGGCCACGGTGCAATGCTGGCTCTCCTGCCTACTGGGGCTCTGGGCTTGGCTGGCGCCGGCACAGAGAATTCTGTGCTTGTCCTGGCTAGCACTGGCCCTAGGAGAGTGCAGGAAGCCAGGCACAGGGGTGGCAGGGCACAGGCACCTCCTGCCCCTTGGCCAGGGATGCCGGCTGGGAAGCCTGGCCCGTCCTCATCCCACAGGAACATGGTGCTGAGCCCTTGCTGTGCTCAAACATGGCCAAGCACATCTGCACCTCCTGGCTTGGTGCCCAGTGTAGGTCCAATGGAGGAAAGGTCAGGATACAGGGATGTAGATGATTCCTGGTAGGGACCAGAGCCTCGCTGGGAGCGGTGCCCCGCCCGGAGAAACCCAAGCATGGGCAAAGGCTGGACACTACCCTCAGTGACAGATGGGACAGGGTCCCCTGCCAGGGCAGAAAGGGGGAGCAGCAGATGAATGCAGCGTGGCCACTGCCGGGGCTGAACCCAGCCTGTCCTCACCGTCCCTGTGCCATCCAGCCAGGCACAGCCACCACTGTCCCTCCCAGTCACTGCACATGGGAAGGGAATAGGATCTGTCCCAGACACAGCTTCCAGCAGCCATGTGGCATGAATGCAGTTCCCATGGGGTCAGTTTTTCCCAGACATAATTATTTAACCAGCATTAAATCATTCATCATGTGTGCTGGGGAAAACGTCCTCACCTCTTCCCGGCTGCCACACATGGGTTCAACCATCACCTCCCCCAGGCACCCACAGGCTCTGCCAAAAACCCATGGCTGGAACCTCCTGGGGTTGGTCCCACCAGGAGGATGCTCCGGGAGCCAGCCTGGAGCTGACAGGGCTGGGAGTGGGAATCAGAGACCAGGGTCCTGCACAAGGTGCCCAGACCTGCAGCCACGGGTGAAGGTCTCATGTCAGGAGAGCAGTCACTCACATCCTCACTTCCTAGGAAGCTCCATCCCACAGGTGCTGCAGGTCCTGGGTGAGCAGAGAGGCTCCTTCCTGGTGCTGGTGTTCCATCACTCCAAGCCCAGCCTCAGCCCAGCCCCCTCAATCCCAGCCTCTTCCCTGGAATGCGGAGCCCCCAGACAAAGTGTTGACTGTAAGAGCTGCACGTTAACCGCTTCCCAGCCATCCTCCTGCTGCAGTCTCTGCTCCCCGGCACCTGCTCAGCCCCGGAGGCACCCGCTCCCTATGCCCCTGCCCCTAACCAGGCATTTAATCCCCTTCTGCTTACCCAGAGGGGACCCATAGGATGCTGGGATGCCCCCACTGTGCCATGCAGGGTTACAGTGGGAGTGACAGAGCCCAAGGCCCACAACCCCACGCTCCCACTCACTCCGGGCTGCCGGAGTGGGACAGGGACCCACGGCTCACACATCCCATTGAGATCTTCCCACCAGGGCTACACAGAGCAATGTGTTGTGCGGTGTCCTGGGGGAAGGAGCTCACCACTGCCCTCTCTCCATCCTGCCACCTGCGATGCTGCAGGCAGGCACGGAGCCCGGAGGGCCAGCCCTGCTCCCATGGCCACCTACCCGTCCCCAGCAACACCAAAACACGGTGGGAAGGAAGGGAAAAATCTGCACGTCTGTTTCCTAAAGGCTCTGGGAAAAAGTGCTGCATTACATCGGGCACAGCCAAAACCAACAGGCCTTGGCAGCCCAACACAGCCCCAGGCCAGGGAGTCCAGACAGCTCCTGCAGGATGTGGGATGAGGACAGACAGGCAGGGCAGGGGGTCTCTGCAGCGGACCCCATGCCGAGCAGTCGTGGTGACGTCTTGTCCCTGGAGTGGGGCAGCTGGAGGGGCCCATCCACAAAGGGCATTCCTCACTATGGGACACCAGCAGAGCTGCCATGGACCAGCTGCACGAGGAGGGAATGGGTCTGGGATCTGGCCATCAAGGTGGACAGGGACAGACACTGCTCCAGCCCCTTCTGCCCCCTGGGGAGCCCCGGGTGACACCACATGGGCACACAGGGCCAGGCCAGCTCATGGACTGTCCTGTGGCAGGATGCTGCTCCCCAGCTCCAGAGGATGTGGTCCTGAGCACAGCTCACGGGATGGGGAAACAGGGATGTGGTG